GAGAGCAGCCCGCGGAAGGGCGCGCAGAGCCGGAGCGCCTCCAGCAGCCGCAGCCAGGCGCGCCGCCCGCCGCCCCGCAGCACCGCCCGGCACACGGCCAGCAGCTCGGCCAGCAGCGCCTCCACCTCCCGCGGCTCCGCGCGGCCCGCCTCCCGCAGCTGCGTGGCCAGGCGCCGCCGGGTGGAGCGCGCCCAGGCCGGGTCCGGGAGAGCCCCGGGGGAGTCGGCGGGCGGCGTCTCGGGCAGCCCCGGGACGGGCATCTGGGCGCCCGGCGGCTCCATGGCGGCTGGGCCCGCGTTGCTAAGGCCGCGCGCGGCGTCGCTATGGAGCCCCCAACGGCCCGCCCCAGCGCGCCCCCTGCGGGCAGGACCGGGCGTCGCGGCTGCGTCCATTCTCCGCCAGCCTGCTGGGCCTCGAGCCCCGGCCCGCGGATGGCGCGCAACCGGAACCCCTCGGCCTTTTTATTTAACCTTTTTAGTTTTCTGGTTTTGTTTTTAACTTTCCTTTCAACTATTTACTTTTTTTTATAATATCTATTCGGCTATTGTAACCCGCCCAGAATCACTCTGGTGAGATGAGAGTGGTGTATAAATCTGATAAATTAATTCCACTTTCCCTGTCAAACATCCCCTGTCCAGAAAAATGTGTATTTACGTCTCTAACAAGATTCCTAACTTTACAAACATTCCAAGTTTCCCTACATAGATCAAAACAGAGTGGACTTCACCCCCCCCCACACACACACCCCCTTTGCCTCACCTGGGCAATCATCCCAGGGGTTCTTACTGCATTTAGCAACCCGCCTTCATCTCCATATTCATCCATGTTCACTTTTATGTTTTCACAAAAGTGGCATAAAATTTCTGTCTTGCAGGTGATGATCTCAAGGGATAAATCCCACAATTGGTCAATGCTCCTATACACAAAATATGAAATTCTTGCCAAACCAGATTGATTATTAGACTCAGAAAGTTTTATCCATTTCTTTCATCATTTAATACAATCCAAAAAACAAGACTACATAATTGTTGTGGAACTCCACTTATATTATGTATCCAGAAAATGAGGTAATTACTCAATTTAAAATGTAATAAAACTCAATCCAACCAGTTGCGTCTTGTTAACCCAGGCCTCACCATTAGGCCAGACTAGAAAAAAGCAGTGGCAAGCCACTCTTCCACCGTTGCCCCCAAAACTATGCGGTTACCAGAAGCCAGGAAGTTACCCTTCCTTTGAACAGAGGTGCAGCTCAACACATTGTCCAAACAGAGGGTTCCCAGAGGTTGAACACGGTTAAATTAAGGGGCATTCCTCCCTAGATCTGTTCAGACTACCTGCTTTGCTTGAACAGATCTAGGGGAAGAGAGCCTCTCGCCTCCCTGGATCCCAGGGACCACCGTGGAGCTCTCCCGGCAAGAAGGCTCTGCAATGGGGCCTTTCAGTGACTTGATATTCCTACCTTTCACCCCACATGGCAAGCGAGGGAGAAGGGTATTGGTCCCGCTGCCACCAGCCTCAAAGTAATAATCCCTCGGGCATCTTCTGTCCAGCCAATTCCTCAGCAGTGCAACAACTGCCCTCTGGCCATCACATTCTGGGAGCTTGTCTGGCCATTTCCTCCCCGAGGCCACCAATCCGCAGACCCTCCCTGTCGCCTTTGAAGCAAGCGTGCCTCGGGAAAACCAAATGCTGTGGCTGAATCCAGCCCAGGCCAGGTGTGCTTAAAACTCACTTAAGCGTAACCAGTTAAGCTTAATGCTCCTCTGCGCAATGGAGCAACCACACAGGCTCAGGTAACAGGGAGCTAAGCACACCTTGAATTAGGGGCTTTCTGAGGCCATTTTGAAGGACCAAGACCACCCAAGGGGCCCTTTAGGCCATCCAATCCCATCGCTGCCCAGTCTAGGTTGTCGGAGGCCTCCTTCAAGCAGACACTCCAGGGCCGGGCCAGGGCCTTGACCAGGATCCTTTGGGTAGGACTGTTTTAGGCTCTAGCCTCCACCTCGGCTTGGGAAAGGGTGAATAGGCCCCTGGCAAGAGGAAGTGGGGGGTCAGCAGAGGCAAAGAGCTTTGAGGGTTGGGTTCCAGTGGCCTTCAAGGGTCTTGGCCAGGAGAAGTCTCTGTCATTGAAAGCTCCTCCTGACCCACTCTGGGTGCCGGGTGAGGAGGAGGGCCTCATTCTGCTTGTGACCCAGGAGGACTCCAAGGCACTTCTGAAGCAGCTCACCTCTCCTGCGTTCTTCTAAGGGAAGGAGCCTGTCTGGGCTCCTCTCATCACCCACCCAAATGCGTCCCCCTGCTCCAGTCGTTGCAGCCGCTGCTTCCTCCTCCTCCTCCTCGGGAGAGGCCATGGCTCCCCAGGGCCGGGAAGGCTCTGGGGGGGCTCGGGGGAGTCAGCAGAGAGTCCATCGGAGGAGACCCGCGCCCGCGGGGCTTCCCGGCGTTCAGCGGCCCCGCAAGGGCGCCCTTCGGGGCTCCGTCCCAGCGGGCACGGCGCGGGCGAGGCGGGTCAGGAGGCGTCGGAGGGCCCCGGGAGGGCGGCGGGGTCGCGCCCGGCGGCCTCGTAGTCGGCGATCCTGCGCTGGACCAGGGAGGGCATCAGCTGCACGTAGGCGGCCATCAGGCGGTGGTTGGAGCGCACCAGCTTCCCGGCGCAGCCGTCCAGGCAGGCCTCCTGCAGGGGAGACATTGGGCGGGACGGGACGGGAGGGGCTCGCTCGCTCCCGGACCCCCCCTCCGCGGCCCCCGCCGCCCCCCTCCCCCCGCCCGGCCCCACCTCGTCCCGGGTCAGCGCGCGGTAGTTGAGGTCGGCCACGCAGCGCTGGAAGCAGAGCTCCGTCATCCGGTTGTAGACCAGCAGGAAGTCCCGCAGCTGCAACGAGAGCGACGCCTCAGCACCCCCGCCCCGCCCCGCCCGGGGGAAGGGAGGGGGGGAGGGGGGGAGGGAGGGAGGGGGGGGGAGCGCTTACGCTGCGCAGCTGCTGCGTCTCCGGCGCCGGATCCTCCATGCGGGCTCGCCGCGCTGCCCTCCCTCCGCTCCCCGTGACGCCACTTCCGCCGCTTGCGCTGACGTTGCTTCCGGCCTGCCTGCGCTGGGGCCGACGCGCGCCCGACCGACGCCGGAGCCTCCGGGGCCGGCCCGCAGCGGGTGA